TTCCAAAGAATAAAGCTACTAATGTTAGAACAGAATTTTATACTAGATTTATTTGATAAAAGACAAACTAGGATAATTACTGCATTAGGTCTTACTGAATCAATAAAAGCAGGAGATGAAATAGAATAAGGAGAAGTAATCTTACCCTTAATTTGGAGGATCTCTTATAACTTTTTGCTAACAAAAATTAAGAGAAATACTTTGCTCAGATACGAAATGGAGGTCTTCTGAAAAGAAAATCTTGAAAGAAAGCAAAGAAAGATTCAGAGAGTAAGACAGGTCGCAGTAGCTTTTGCAGACGATACAACATGGATAGCAAACACTAAGGAGTAGCTTGAAGAGACGATACAAATTGCAGAAGAGTTTTTTAAATTCAATGATATTCAGATTAATCTATCTAAGTCGAAGCTTATAGTGATAAATGCTAAAAGTAATATAGACCAACACAAAATAGTAGTAGAGAACTAAGAAATTTATGCAATAAAAAAAAAAGAAACAGTAAGATTTATGAGAATTTGAATAGAACAAAAAGTTAGCAAGAAACAGTTAGTAGCCAAAGCTAAACAAGTAGTATGACTCTTTGCTAATACAATTAGAAAGAAAATAGTCTCTATGAGTCAAGTACTATATATAAATAATGTTTGTCTAATATCAAAGTTAAAATATATGTTGCAAAGTATTTATCTAACTAAGGATGAATGCGAAAAGATCTAGCAACTATATATAATAACTGCTAAGAACAAGATAGGTCTTATAAGAACAGCTCCAAATTTTGTAATATTACATAGTGGAATGCTCAATATGCGAATACTATAGAATATATTGAAAACCAAGCAAACACTAAGTTTCATAAACAGACTGAACAAGAATTGCGAGATTAGAAATATAATAGAAGTAAGAATCAGACAGAGACAGCAAATTATTTGTTATACAAATAGTATCTGAACAGAAAAGCTAAGAGATGATGAAAGAAAACTACTCAAAAACAATCTAGCTAGTTTAGTTATTCAGGACAATCTAAATCTAGGTTTAGAAATAATAGCTAACAGGAAGAGTAAGTAGTCGAATCTAGCAAAACACTAATTAAAAACCTAAAAGAAAAGAAAACCTTTATTAGAGCAGCTAAGATACTTTGTAATCTCAATATACTTCTGTTAGAGCAAATCTTAGATCAGAAAGGATCTTATCTAATAACATAGCAGCAACTCAAAACTGCTAAAAAGAAATTCAAGAAAGGTAAAAAGGCTACATGGTTCAAAGAAATTAAAGAACAAGTATTAATATGTAAAGAGAAAAGAAAAGTTAAAGACGAATTTAAGACGGATATAGAAAATACTCTATATTTACGAAACTCTCTTGAAGAAATCTCTTTAGACAAAAAAAAATATGAATGAGTAGTTTATGAAGACAGCTCTAGCAAAATCAAAAAGATAAGGAAAGTATAAAAGAAAAAAGAAGATATTATACTGTTAGAATACTGGGAAAACAAAGAGAATACAGAGAAGCAAGAAAAAATCAGAAAATACGAAGGCTGTGCTAGCAACAGAGAAAAGGCATATAAAGAATGCAAAGCTTGGCAACCAAAATGAAAGGTTCTAGGAGTAATTCTAAAAAACTGCGTGAATAGAGAAATGGAAATAATTGATTTCTCACTAAAATCAATAGCTATAAGTAGAGACTACCAAAAAGCTGAAAGGAGGGAATATCCTCTCATAGGCTTAAGAGTAGTTAAGGAATGAGAACTCGAAATTATAGAAAACCAGAATTTTAGTATAGAAGTAACAAGTATGTTAAAGGAAAAAACACAAGAGATTATGTTAGGAAAAAGTAAGGAAATAGAATTCTATACAGATAGATCCTTAGGCAAAGTAGAAGATAAGGGAAATATGGGAGTAGAATAGGTAGTAGTAGATCAAATAAAAAATAGTTTAGTTAGCTTAGGAAACTTGAAAGTTGTTAACTGGCTAACATCAACCAAAGCAGAGCTAATAGGAGTCTGAGTAGTTTTGTTACTAGTGCAATACAATTCAATAGTTAGGGTTTTTACAGATAGTGAACAATCGATAGAGAGTATAACCAAAGTCTGCAAGATTGAACAATATAGCAGATGGATTAGAGTAGATAATAGAATTATCCTAGAAAAGATCGTATCATTCATTAAGCAAAAAGGTATCAAATTAGAGCTCAAAAAGATTCAAAGCCATACTGATAATAGATAGAACAATGAAGCAGATCGACTTGCAAAAGAGAGTAGAAAGTCAAAGTTTTTACTAAATCTAGACCTAGTCAAAAGTAAAAATTTTAGCTATGATATAGCATGGATATCAAACAGAATTGAGAGCTTAGTTAAGCAATTTATAACCAAGCTAACAAAGAGATTTAATAATGCAGAGTAGGCATATCAAAGAAAGGATAACATAGCTGAAAGCTCAAAGTATAACTGGAAAAAGCTATAGTAGAGAATTAAAATGCAGAGAGGTATAAATTGCCTGTCGATAAAAGATAGCAAAAATCTTATCATGCAAATTAAGTGCTTGCTAAGTAGTCTCCTAACACTTAGCGAGTTTAAGAAAAGAAAGCTATTGCTATACTAAAGTAACCACTGCATTTTATGCAAGGAAGAAATTCCAGAAGATCTTAATCATCTTATAAGTTGCTTAGCTTTACAAGAGTTTTGGGAAGAAATTGAAAAAGCAATAATAGAAGGTATCAACAAGACCCAACTCAACAAAAGTAATAACTCAGATTTGATATCAAAAATTAGAACAATTTTGTTTCTAAAGGATAAAGAAAACTATTTTCAAAGAAGAAAAAAGCTGATAATTGGACTCAAAGAAAAGAAAATAGCTGAAGATATACTTTTACTAGCTCAGAAAAAAAATATTATGAGATCTTAGATGAACAGTATCTTTTTTATCACCCAAAGAAGTTTCACAGAAGTTATATAGAATTGGTGATATGAAAAGGTAATCCTATGAGAAAAAAGCAAAGGAATTACAATGAAACTTAAAAGAAGCAGAACAGAAGTTAGTGAGCTAAAAGTAAGAGCCCAAATAGATGAAAGGAGGAAAGCTTTGCTTGCAGAAAGGAAAAAAGAAAAAAGAAGAAAAAAAGAATAGATAGTAGTGTTAGTAGAAGAAGTAGTTAGAAAAGAAGTTAAGGAGAGAGAAATAAGTTGATAGAGTTTTCTTTAATACAGTTAGACAAATTGTTCTAGCCTTTTGGTTAGTATAACAGGTTGTATCTGAGTACTCTAGTAGTAGCTGAGTGATATCAAACTTAGTAAATTAAGTAGATTTTATAATTATGTAACTTGGCTAAAGCTATAGTTAATAACTTAATAAAGTTTATGATATGACTGTCAAAGGAAAAAAAAAAAAAAATAGAATATTATATATTCTAAAACAAAGAAGTCTAAATTTTATTTCAAAATATATCTAAAGCATTTGATAAAATAAATATCTCTCAACTTCAGGAAATATACAAAAAAATAGATATTCTAACTAAAGGTATAAACTTTATTACTGAACTACATACTTCTTGACTAGTAAAAATTATTACAAGATATAGTCTTACTACTTCTATTCAACTAAACTCTAGTATTGAATAAGAAAAAACATACTCACTTCTACTCTGAAAAATCTATTATAACCTAATTCTTATTTTTATTTTACAAAAATATTAAAACTACCTCTTAAAAATTTCTAATCAATCTTCTTTCAAACTTATCTCAAATACTACTCTATCTACTATTACTATTCCTTCACTAGCATATATAGATAACACAGTATAGTACTATGAAAACTAGGAAATAATACAAAATATACTTAATAATACATTAGCATTATATGAATTCAATAATCTAACTATTAATTTATTTAAATCTAACCTATTAAGGTAGTATTACTATTGTTTTGAGAGAGCGTTATACAAATGTGTGCCGGTTTAACTCCAATAGTTAACTTGAGTAGATTTTATAGACGAATTTTATAAAATCTAATGAATCTATAGCGATTATGTTCACGTGGGATTATGGATTTTAGTTAATCAAGGGGGCGGTTAACTGATTAATATCAGGGTGATATATTTAATTGTAGCTAATTAATTAAGGGTCAGATTAATCAATATAACAAATGTGTTACTGATCAATTTAATCGGAGTACAGGTTAGTTATGTGGTTCAGGGTTTAAAGGTATCGGGTAAGTAACGAAGTAAGATAGTATTTAATTAAATTTTAATTAAATTTAAAAAAGAAACAAAATAAAAGACAATTATTCGTTCAATAAACTTTTAAAACAAAACACTTGAGAAGTCGATTCCTAATATTTTTCTTATATTCAAGACATTGAAGTCTAAAGAACTTTATTAAAATAAAAAATTCAACTCTTTATATACATTTCGCCTAACTATGATTACAAATTCATTTTTACTATCCGTAAAACCCTCTTTCTAATCAATTAGTTCGCGATGCTCTAGCTCTAATTCCTACACTTTAATTCCTACTCGAAATGGTAAGTGAAGCTTAAGCTTCAATATAGATACTTCAGTTCCTGCTAAAAATGGTAAGTAAAGCTTAAGCTTCCTAATTACTGCGTCTGACCTCTGATTAATACTTGATCTTCAATGTAAATACAAGGGATCGTATGCAAAAATAGTAATATTTATAAAAAAAAATAGCAAACAAATAAACTTATCGATAAAAATTATGAAATTTTAATCTTCTCAGCCCATAAACCAGTTTAAACACAACACCTCCCCTTATTGCTACCGTAACATACTCCTCTCCTTATTACTGAGCTCCTGCGAAGTTTAATTGAGCTTCAGTAATAATACTTCCCTCAAGTTTACGTATAATCTGAGTCTCGTTTAATAAGATTTTGAACTTTTCGTCCAATAATTTAGTCAGGGCTGCTGTGGTTATATTTTGGGCCAATAGGATATTATGCGCCCTACGGATAGCGTATAATTGATATACTCAGAACGCAGCCTTCCAGACATACCGATGAGTATTTTCAGTGAATTCCTTACAGATAACCTGTCTAGTCTTAGTACTCCAAGAATGTTCTTCAAGTCTTTCCCCAAGAAGATAATAGTATTGGAACATAGCATTCTTGCCAGGTCGACTGTTACGAATCTTATCCCTAAGATATGTAATTTGCCCTTCCCAAGTTCCATCTGATACCACCTCAAATATCTGATCAGAGGTGTCGATTGACCATAAATCACTAAGGTATAAGGAGATCTTGGCCTGCTCTAGTGGTTCTGTGGTTATTGCTGGCGTATAATGGAAGGGTACAGGATTGTCGTTATTATCGTAGAAAGAAAGCATTTTGTTAATTATTCTGATCTCTTCTATCGGTGTGTTTTTAATCTGTTTCCGGAGCTGGAGAACATATTTTAGGAACTTAGAGGTAATCAGAAAAGAATCCATGAGATGAATTTTGACCTTGGTCAGAATTCATTATATTTATAGGTAAGAGCTTCGTTTGTCACAGGGGCGTAATATATCTTCTTAACCTGTTTCTGTGTACTGGTTTTTTAAGGACTCTCTTGATCATTGTTTGCTTATCGTTATCTTGATTTATTGTTCTCAATTTGTAGGCGCCATTACCATAAACGTTATGAACATAATAGGGGTCTGAGAACTTTTGCTTCATTTTTGAACTATGAGAAGTTTCTAACGAGGTTTTATGCAACAAAACCTTATCACTGATCTAATAAGTCTCTATTTTGTGTTTTTGATTGTGATAAGCTTTCTGTTTTTGCTATGACTTCCTTACATTAATGCGCGCCTGTTGTCGTGCAGATTCTAAATTCCCAAGCAGCGTTTCTATCCTCCTAAAAAGGTAGTCCTGTAAACCTAATTCAGTAGCTGATTCCACAGGATAGGTGATGATAGCGGTTTCTACTGGAAGGATAGCTTCACGTCCATATATGAGAAAGAACGGCTCATGTCTGGTAACACTATGGCGAGTGGTTCTATAAGCAAACAGGGCTGCAGGAATAAATTCATCCCATTCACCTTCATACTGCGCCACACACCAGGCCAATACTTTGCAAAGGGTCTAGTTGAACCGTTCTACTAACTCGTTGGTCTGTGGGTAGTATGCCATTGAGGTCCTATGGTTAACTTTCATTTTGATACAAAGGGAATCCACTAGCTTATTACAAAAGTGGGTTTCCTGATCTGAGAGTAGTTCATGTGGGCTTCCATGCCTACAAATAATGTCTTTGAAAATAAAGGATGCAACCGATTCAGCATCCGCTTTACATAATGCTCGGGCCTTAGGCCACTTAGTGAGGTATTCGGTAGCTACCACTATATATCTTTTTCCACTAGTGGTCTCCGGGAGTGGTCCAACGATATCTATGCCTAATTGGTCAAATGGTTGCCCGATCTTTATCAGATGCAAGGGTTCTCTGGTTCTTGGTCATCCCCGCTTCTGACAAAAGTCACATGACTCTACATATCGCTTTATTTCGTTACCTATCTGAGGCCAAAAATATCTAACTATGATCCTCTAGTAAGTAGCTTCCTTACCAAAATGTCCCGCCAGAGGATCTGAGTGCATGGTATGTAAGATGGGCTCTACTTCATTAGGTCTTAGCACTCTTACGGGTCTTCGTGGGTCTCGTAGGTTGTTCTTAAACAATAACTCATCTCTGATAAGGTAATATGGGTCTTTTGTTTCATTACCTTTTCCGTGATTTCTATTGGTACCTTAGACCTGCTAAGGTAAGTAACAAAATTATTATATGTGGTTATATCCATAAAGTTCGTTATAATCAGTAATAGTTTTTCCGAAAGTAGCGTCGATATATATATAAGCTGAAAAATTAATATTCTTTTTGGGGAGTTTTTAATTTAAATCCGAGATAGACTATTGGCGTTAAGGTGTAATTCTCCTGACTTGTGAATGGTTGTGAATTCATACTCCTGCAAGGTCAGGATCCACCTGGCCAGTCTGTTTTGGGGTAATCGGTGAGAGAAAAATGATTTCAAGGCCGAATAATCAGTAAAAAGTATGAAATGGGTCCCATGTAGATAAACTCGGAAGTACGAAACGGCCCATACAACTGCAAGACACTCTTTTTCAGTAACAGAATAATTTTTTTCAGCGGGGCTTAATGAGTAACTAGCATACGCTATTACTCTCTCTTTTCCTTCATTATCTTTTTGAGAGAGAATCGCTCCAAGGGCTACATCGGAGGCGTCCATGAAAAGGATAAATGGTTAGGTAAAATCTGAGTATGCAAGAATCGGAGTGGTCACAAGTCTTCTCTTTAAATATTCGAAAGCTTCTTGGCATTCCGGGGTCCATTGGTACTGAACGTTTTTCTTCAATAGGGCATTGAGTGGGGTGGCGATGTTAGTGAATTTAGGCACAAAACGCCTATAATAAGAAGCTAGGCCTAAGAATCCTTGCATTTGCCTTATATTTTTAGGGACGGGAAATTCTTGGATAGCTCTGACTTTATCCGGGTCAGTAGAGATTCCGTTACCACTGACTACGTATCCCAGAAATTTTAACTCCTTTTTGGCAAAGAAGCACTTTTGGGGTTTAAGTTTCAACTCAGCTTCCTGAAGTCTTTTGAACACTATCTCTAAGTGTTCTAAATGTTTATTGAAAGTTTTGGAAAAAACATTAAGGTCGTCAAGATAGACAACCACGAACCTTCCAATAATGTCCCTAAAGATTTGATCTATCAGTCTCTGAAATGTCGCTGGGGTATTTACTAATCCAAAGGGCATAATGTTAAACTCATAAGCCCCATAGAGAGAGATGAATGCCGTTTTCCCCTTATCATCTTCATTCATTTCGACTTGCCAGTATCCACTGGCTAAGTCTAATGAAGTAAACCAACAGGACCCACTAAGGGAATCCAAAAGTTCGTCCACTCGAGGCAAGAGGTAATTATCCCTTACAGTGACTGCGTTTAATTTTCTGTAGTCTACACAAAAACGCATCTTCCAGGCCTTTTGTTTCACCAAGACTACTGGGGATGTCCAGGGACTCATGGATGGTCGAATTATTCCTTCCTTTAACATGGAACTTATTTCCTCTTGAAAGAACTGTTTTTCCGCAGGAGAGTACTAGTAAGTTCTTTGCTTTATTAGTCTGATATCCTTAGTTATTATCTCGTGTACTACTTTCTTCATATGACCCAGCTCGTTAAGGCTCTGGCCGCAGAGATCAATGTTTTTATCAAGCAGTTGGGATAACCATTCCCTTTGCTCTTGTTCTAAATCTCCCATATGATACTCAATCCCGATTTGGATCTTATTTTCATAATAATAGTCGAAAAGGTCCAATATTGGTTCATGTTTTAGTTCCAGTTGGGTAATTAGGCATGTAATTGGCCACGAGTTACATTCCGGATCTTTCTGAACCTTATTATTTTTACTAAACTCGTCTCCTTCCCGAACATCATTATTATCTATATTGTTCCCTTCCTCATTAACTCCTTCAATTTCAGATAAAGTGTAAATCTGCTCTTCCAATTCTTCTTCCTCGTATTCTTCCTCAGACTCCTCTTCTTCCGTCTTCTCATCATCCTCATCCTTGATATCTTTAATTATTATAGGACGATTCTTATCCAATGACGACTTGGACACCTTACAGAATTCGACCGGGACCGTTATTTCTTTATTGTTCCAAAAAATCAATATTTCGGACAAATTCTAATTAATAGTTGCATTCACTTTTGCAAGCCAGTTATTACCAATAATAGCACAGTACGAATTAGCATCCATTATAATGATGTCTATAGGAATTACCACGCCGCCGATACTAAAGGGGAAGTTAGAAATTTCACCAATAGCCCTTTTACTTTCTCCATGAATATTAATCATATTCACTACTGATGGCTTTTCAATTCTTATCCCTAGGTCATTTAGAAGATGAGAAGCAACAACACTTCCGGACGATCCACTATCCACTATGAGGGGGATGGTCCGATCATAGACTTTGGTATCACAGTAAAGGGCTGTAGCTTTTAAGGCAGGCTGAGTGTTAGCATTACCTTGAACCTTCCTTCGGGCGGTAACTTTTTTCTTTTGTAATGCCCAGGTTACTTCCTGTCTCATTGTTGGCATCACCCTCAGCAGTTGACTGAA